ATCAGGTATTTTCTTAATTTCTTTAGGAATTGGTTATTGCCTTATTGGTGATAGTAGCTTGAGATAATATTGGATTAGTTCTTTGATAAAATTGCACGTGGTCCTAATTTTCAGCTCTATCTTTGGGTATTGGTCTGTACAAATATGAAAGACCTGACATAGCTGTGAATTAAATATTTTCCATAGATGGAACTGCTCCTTTTTCTATGTTCAGTTGAGACGTTTTTGTTCTTTTTTTTTGTTTTTTTTAATACTACATTTTGGTATTGTCGTGTGCTGTGTGCAGTAGAGATTCACTATTGTCTGTTATGGAATTGAAATTGGGTATTGTTGAAATTTGGGTATTGCTGAATGCTGACTGCTGAGTAGATATGGCTGAAATTTGGGTATTGTTGAATTGAAATTTTTATTATCATTATATCCATGACAAAACATCGATAAGTTGTGCTCCCCGACAAAAAATCCTGGCTTCTCCCCTGCTTCTACTCCTCTGATTCTCTCGGATTCTCTGAGTTCTCTCTCTCTCTCTTCTTCAATCTTGGTTCGTGTTTACTTCAAATTTTATTGAAGTAAAGGAATTACGGCTTGGGTTATTAAATCCTAGCTGAATTGATCCATTATCGTGTTGATTTGAATTGTATTTTAGCTGGTTTTGGTTGAAAATTATCCAACCATTACACGCTCCGAGAAAGACAGTGAGGTCTCCATTATTTGTTCATCTGAGTTTTAAATTTTTTTTTTTTTTTGGTTGAAAGTACATTTTTGCAGTGTATATATAAATTCTGGATGCATTTTTGTGAATTCTTTAAGTTTCACGCAAAATATTTTCTTTGTTTCTTGATTGTGTTTTTCTGAAAAGAGTTTTCTTGAATTGATTTCTCATTTGTTGAATTGAATGGAGGTTTTCTTTTTCTTGAGTTTGAGTGGTGCAATTTTAGGTTTATACTCACTTTGAGTTGCAAAGGTGCCTTTGTGTTCGTGTAGATTTGTTTAATTTGATGCTCAGATTTTTTCGCTTGAATCTTCTTATCACGATATTGCTTTGAAAAATCACATTTATCTTAATGCCAAGACTTCACAGTGTTTATGTGAACAAATGGATGTATATATTCATATTTTGGCTAAGGGAAACTATTGGATATGTTATAATAAGTTTTTCTAAATCTCTAATGTTGCTTTTACTAGATTTCTTGGTTGGGGGCTGAAGAGTTCTTGTTAGTCATTTAAATTGTTTTTGACGTGTCTTATTCTTCACGTGCTTGTTTATTTGAAAATTGTGTCATTGAGTGGTGCAATTTTAGGGAAAAAGTGCCTCTTTTCCTATTCGTGTTCTTTAAGCCACTTTGGGCTCTAGGAGAGGTTCATAAATGGTTTTATACGTTTCTTTTGCAAAAATCCACATAATATGAATGCACACACTCTGTATTCTCACTGAGGTATTTATGTATGATAAATGATTCATTCCTCAGCAAGTTCCATGTCGTTGATAATTAGAACTTAAAAAGTTTTTAAGTCTTTAGGAGAAGCCAAAAGTTACTTCTGTCATTTTGTCATTGTATTAAAGCTCTTAAGTCCCAAAGCTG